TTTAGGTTCAGTAGTTTCGGAGGTAAGGCGGCGGAATGGTCAATTTTTTGTCCGTTTTTCTTAAATGACTGGAACTATTTATTTTAAAATTATAAAGAAATATATTTGAGACTCTTTCAACAAGCCTTTTCAAGTCACACAAACTTTTTTTACTACCATACATACGCAATCGAACATTACAGAAAACTGTCACAATTTAAATAATAAAAACATTAAAACTTCACATTACAATAACTAAGTATCAGTTAAACTTATTAGAAACACCACAGATTAAAAAAACATTTAAAACAAAACATTTTTTTAAAATAATAATCAGCTGGAATTAAATATGTGGTAATGTTTTACTAATAGACAGTACTATATAGTTTGTAGCATCCCTACTCCCTTACTCACCCATGGACTTATGTATACACATTTATATACTTAGATCTGAACCTTTTTAAGTAAAACTTAAGGGTGTTTTTTTGTTATTTATTCCACACGTTTCAGAAAAACTCCATCAGACAAAGTTCAGAATTTAAATCATTAAATAGCAATTTTATAGAATTTTTCATTAAAATTTATTAATTAATTCTAAAATATAAATAAAATTGTTTTGTTTAAATTCAAGAAATATTTCAGCAATCACTTATTTGTAAGGTGTAGGAATATTTGTGAAATATTTTGAACATAATTATTTGACGGAATGAAGCATTTAATAAGCACATGGTCACTAAATGCTGATAACAATACTTCTTAATTTTAATCTTAATATCCACACATTCCAGACTTTATATGGCTAAGGGATCTAGATCCGTCCAGAAACTAATAAATAACAGTGAAATCACTTTTTTACTATGAGGCACTTGTGCAGTTGTACGTTTCGAGTGTTATTTTCGTACCAACGGTGCAATAAAAGTCAAGGAGGAAAATTTAAATACTGCACTGGTCAATTCTTCACCTGACGGCGAGCGAACAGGGAGCGAAACATGAAAATGAAGAATAAGAATCCAGGTCCCATATATGTACAAGCGTACGCCATAGTATCTTCAAAAAGTCGTAAATATCGTGGCCATTGTCGGTCATGTTTTATTGAAAAACGCGCTCGTAAAACTGAATTTACAATGGATATTAGCAGCTTAACGATTACAAGATCATACGCTTCTCTCATACTGGGATAACTGGGCTCGTCGTTAGGCTTTCGTAGCATATTTTGTTGATGCTCTTGTCAACAATAGCCACATAAATTTTGGCATGACAATAAAAGGCGAGTCCACGGACACCTTTATTATACAACTCATTCGCTTGTAATGATCGGAGCCATTAAAACGTGAAATGGCCCTCAAGACACCGAATTATTACCAGTTAAGTGTTTTGAAACAGGCGCAACTCCTAATTTCCAAAGTCCTAAAACTTTTAAACAATGAACGTTGTTCGTTGGGACGTAAGATGTGGTACAGTCGCTTCAGTTTAATTTTGTCGGTTTTGGATTATAAAGTTAAAATTGTTAATTTTTTTTTATTGAAGTGAAACTTCTTTACGCACTGTAGGGTAAGTTCGTTTCATGCGAGTTGGTATGTAACGAAATCATGCAACGTATGTCCCCCTCTGCTCGGCCACGTAGTCGAATTCGTAGTGGCCCTCAAGACACCGAATTATTACCAGTTAAGTGTTTTGAAACAGGCTCAACTCCTAATTTCCAAAGTCCTAAAACTTTTAAACAATGAACGTTGTTCGTTGGGATGTAAGATGTGGTACAGTCGCTTCAGTTTAATTTTGTCGGTTTTGGATTATAAAGTTAAAATTGTTAATTTTTTTTTATTGAAGTGAAACTTCTTTACGCACTGTAGGGTAAGTTCGTTTCATGCGAGTTGGTATGTAACGAAATCATGCAACGTATGTCCCCCTCTGCTCGGCCACGTAGTCGAATTCGTAGTGGCCCTCAAGACACCGAATTATTACCAGTTAAGTGTTTTGAAACAGGCTCAACTCCTAATTTCCAAAGTCCTAAAACTTTTAAACAATGAACGTTGTTCGTTGGGATGTAAGATGTGGTACAGTCGCTTCAGTTTAATTTTGTCGGTTTTGGATTATAAAGTTAAAATTGTTAATTTTTTTTTATTGAAGTGAAACTTCTTTACGCACTGTAGGGTAAGTTCGTTTCATGCGAGTTGGTATGTAACGAAATCATGCAACGTATGTCCCCCTCTGCTCGGCCACGTAGTCGAATTCGTAGTGGCCCTCAAGACACCGAATTATTACCAGTTAAGTGTTTTGAAACAGGCTCAACTCCTAATTTCCAAAGTCCTAAAACTTTTAAACAATGAACGTTGTTCGTTGGGATGTAAGATGTGGTACAGTCGCTTCAGTTTAATTTTGTCGGTTTTGGATTATAAAGTTAAAATTGTTAATTTTTTTTTATTGAAGTGAAACTTCTTTACGCACTGTAGGGTAAGTTCGTTTCATGCGAGTTGGTATGTAACGAAATCATGCAACGTATGTCCCCCTCTGCTCGGCCACGTAGTCGAATTCGTAGTGGCCCTCAAGACACCGAATTATTACCAGTTAAGTGTTTTGAAACAGGCTCAACTCCTAATTTCCAANTAAACCAATTCCTTAACCCCTATCCCGGTATGTTTGTGTGTTTAAAGAAGTTTCACTTCAGTAGCGTGTTATATAATTACACGTTGTATTTTATTTATTACTGGATTAATAAATTTATGAAACCGTACACCTATCACAAGGAAGAGAAAGATTATCTTTAATTATCTTTCTCAGCTAGTTGCATGTAACGAACACTGCTGATACGTAAAATTTGTACATTTTTCTCTCTATTCAAACAGTTTGTAGAGTTTGCCTCTCTTTTATTGTTAAACTACCAATTTGTTCACGAATCTTAAATAAATTACAGTGGCGTTGCGAAGTCTTATTTAATATAATTTTCATAAAAGTGATTAAAATTAATTACAATGTACATAATCCAATTAAAAGATTAATAAAAGAAAGTACAGAATTTTCTATTGGGGTGATAGTTTAAGATAATGTATTTATACTTTGCTTACTTTTGTCGTACTTTGCTTGTCTTGATAATTAACTGTTTTCTTACTTTAAATTAATTGAATAACATACTTAATTCTGTGACATCAAAAATGAATATTCTCTAGAGGGAAATGTTTTGAAATTCTGTTTGAATATGAACCTCTTATTTTAAAAACTAACGACGATTCAATATATTCTGAATAAAATGAATAATAAACCCTTATACATTACATTTTTTTACATTTTTTATATTAATTTTCATAATTAATATTCAAGATCTTCATTAACTGTACTCGGACTCTTGACCTTTATATTATGTAGGTTGTATGTAATTATGGTTTTTAAATACACATTGAAAAAAAGCAGTTTTGTTCACATTTTTAAAAATAATATTAGATATGTGAGTAAAACTGGTCAATCCCGATGTAAATTATTCAAAATAAATGAAGCAATTGGTAGTATAGTAATAAAAGAGAAACACACTCTTCAAACTCTTTCGAGGGAAAGATGCACACATTTTAAAAAGTACTTGTAGTGTTCGTTATCTGCGACTAGCCGATAAAAATTTTTCTCTTCCTTTCGGGGATTTTTTGTACTGAAGCAAACAGATTTTGTTATATCAGAATCCATAATCTTTTTAATAATTCATGAATCATTTGCTTACTTATTGTCAACAATCCGTAATTCAAAGGTTTCATTTAACTTTTTACCGAAAAAGAATTCGTTCTATTTTTAAATGAAAATACGTCAGACTCTCCCAAAGATTTCGATAAATCCCCTTAATGGAAAGGTAAGCTTCTTATAACCCTACTGTGCTACTGTTTATTAACGAGCTTCTTTTAATAGAAGTTGAAACAACATATAGAAAAAAGTCATCGTCATTGTCAATTTTCAATTAACTTTTACTGCATACAACGTACAGATCAACGATGAAAACAAGATAAGATAAACATGCCAAAAACAACGGGCTTATTATCATGACTCCCCTTACCTGGCATTTTGGGGTCCGACAGACTTGGTCTCGTACGAAGAGCTGGCCGTGATAGCGTGGTCGGGAATACGACCCTCTTCCATTCCCAGTGCCGAGCGGCATTCGCCACCCCCTGCAACGAACGAACACTTTTTTATTGATTTTATCCAGCAAAAACACAGCCACGTGTTGTATGTAAAGGCCAAACCGCCGAAAAATAAATTTTAGTTGGCGGATTTGTTAAATGTGGAATTTTATCAACGCAATGGCGATTCGATGATCAAGCGAAATTTTATCAGATTTTTAGTTGCAAACAGGGTAAAATTGTGATGGTAAATGAGGATTAAAAGCGATACAAAATTGTAATAATTGGATAAACGTTTACTAGCGCTAAGTCAGTTTTGATGAACACACCATTCAAGCGTCCATAAGTAAAATTAAAAGAATTGTGGTTAAAAAATTTGGTAATAGCAATTATAATAACATAAAACCTGGAAATTTTATACATATGCGTTTTCGAAAATACTACAAATGGCGCAGTAAACGCCATCTGTAGCACGATGCTACATTTTAGGACTACGTAATGCTCCAACAAGGTCCACTTGTGTGGATATCTACTTGCTGAAAACGAATCCCGACGTAGCCAACCTCAAAGTGATAGGCACGCTAGCTTAATCGAATAAAATAATTCGAAGTGGTCTGTATTCTGTCGAAACTGCCAGACGCCGATCGCGATTTCGATCTTTTTGGATCTCGTCAGCGCGTCGCAGGCAGCTCCGACAGAACATAGACCAACTTTTACCTGCTGTCTTAACAGTGCGTTTTCGAAAATACTACAAATGGCGCAGTAAACGCCATCTGTAGCACGATGCCACATTTTAGGATTACGTATGCTTTTAAAAAGTAATAGTACACCTAAACGAAATACGCCGTAGGCGGTCGATGCTATTGATATACCCCAATGCTAACAGCAGAAATCATAAACTATAATGCGAACAAGACTGGATTGACTAAAAGAACTTACGGGAAGTTTCCGGAACAATCAGGGATAGAGAATAATTGAATATTTTATACGACAGTTTATATAAGTGATCTAGATAACATTTATGCCTTAGTCTTTAATAAAAATCGTAAAATCTTAGTAAAACCTAAATTGTTTTATTTTCTTGTGCTGCTGTCGGGACACCAACATCGTACCGGAAAAGGTATAGATTATGAAAACATATTGTAGCAAAAGCTTTTACTTCTACCATTTGCTTCTATCTTTGCAAAAGTTTTGCCATTTGTATATAACTATATAACCGTGGAACGTGAAGCACTGCAGTCCTTCGTGAAAACTGCTTGTCGTGAGCGTGACTTTTGATAGAACATCTCACCATTTACTAGCTTCGTTCTTGTACTATAGTGACCGTGAAACTTTATAGGGTTTTTATTTACAGTTGGTGCTATTTTAAGTTAACTTTCTGTTTCACTAGGAATTTATTATACCACTGAATGACCAAATAAATTAAAACGTTTTAGGCTTACTAATATTATTATGTACTGTTTTATGAAAGTATTGTGATCCGTCAAATGGGTATACACCATCTGGTGGCAAAATTTATAACTCGACTGAGGGAAAAATTTACATAGGAACTGTGCACGCAAATTGTAAAATTGTTTATTAAAATAATAAAACACGTTAAAACAGTAAAAATTGTTTTGATGATGGAGTCGACGAAGTTTTCTTCTAAAGTCAAATCAAATAAAAAGTTAATATGTTCAGTGAAAAGCTGCAATAGCACTTCAGACATAGATCTTCACTCTTCACCTACATTAACTACTTTCCAATAAAAACTAACCGTTTTATATATGTAAAAAATATATTCGGAAAATTAGAGAAAAAAGTAAACTAATAGAAGCTTGGATGAAAGCAGTAGGTATCAAAGAAGTGAATTCCGGAATAAAAATTTGTTCACGTCATTTTAATGCACATGATTATATTTCAGCAAGTATTTACCATCAGCCATAACCTTAATATTTAAAACTAGAATCATACTAAAATTATAAAGTGAGAAATTATTTATTCCTGTGTAATTGATTTAACACAATTCTAATGATACGATATAAGTATTTTGAGGTTAAGAACCTACCTGCTGCAATACAACAAAGTTGCAATAATGTGTTTGCAACGTTCTCTTAAATCGGCTTTGCACGTGCAAGTCATTGATATGATATTGCTTAAATCACCCAGAATCACCTCACCAATTATATAACGTGAATCACTTTTTAAATCCGAAGTTTGTAAAAAGTAGGCAGTAAACTTGACGGAATTTGAAGGCTAGCTTCCGGATTTGTTATTTCCGAATTTTATAATGTGATTGGCATTAAAAACACGCTCACCTTCAACGAAATTTCCTTTCCGAGGCTTTGTGTCAGCCCAATCACATATTGTGTCAATACTTATCATTTTATCGTAATTTAAAAACTTGGAAATTGCACGGTACACTATAGGAACTACGATAAATTTTCCCTAATCGGCGCCATGTTTTTAGGCTCCTCCCATTTGACGGATCCCAATAGCATAAAACAAAAGCTATTCTACTAACCAAATAATTAAAACAGCTTGAAACTCGATTACAGTTTCCACTTAAAGATACTTAGAAAGGAAAAACGCAAAAGTCGATTTAACTTTAATCAAGCCAGATGTATTTTTCCACGCCCTCGGCAGGCACTGGTATTTTTTTTTCTATTTATTTATTAAACTTCTTCCTTTTCGCATTCAATTTCTTACACAAACAACTGACATTAACAGACGTATGTTTAGCTGGTTACACGAAAATTCCCGAGATACTTTGCTAATGGAAATATTTTCACTCTCACGTACAACAAACGGTTACAGAATGGCAAGCAGTTAAAGAAGCTGCCGCGTCGTGTGTCCCAAAAATGCCGTTTTACTCGGACAAGTCACCCTTGGGGTTTGCATTTTCATCATAGAACACCAACGGGAAAAACAAAAGCAACTAAAAAAACAGGTTAGAATTCAGCCAATAACTGGTTCTACAATACTTGATTATTGTTAAGAAAAGAGTTTAAAATAAGCGTCGTGACAATAATCAGATTAAATCAAATGTATAAAACCCAAAAATTAAATTAAAATAGAGAAGTAAGGGGTAGGAATGAAAAAGAAAGGAAGGAAATAATACTGAAACGATAGAGGAGGTTATAAACTACACACACTTAGAATAAGTAATGGGGAAAATAATAGTGATAAAATACATACAGATGCTAAAAATTAGCGAAGGCGAACGCCTTATTAGGAAGTGTTTGGCGTCTAGGACGACAAAGGCTATACAAGAATGATTGGGTTAGGTGGAAAAGGTTGGTCGATGCGACAGTTAGAAGTATAACTTTTATGGAGTGGAAAAAAAAGAAGTGGAAGGTTAAAAAATTTTTAATGGGTATTGAATTTAAGTAGAATACCGGATCTTGTGAGTAGGAGAGAAATAAAATGTGGAAATTTAGTTGAGGAAACTAGGAATAGGGTGGTAAAACAGCAATTGAAGTTACAACAATTAAGTGAGGAAGTATCAGGAAATAAGTATGACGGACGAGGACATTAAAAGTTGGAATTAAAAGTACGTATGAAAAAAAAAAAGAGAGAAAAGGCTTTAAGTGAACTAAATCTAAATCAAGAGCAACTGAATGAGTGGGATAGAGTGAAAATGTGTGTCGAAGAAATGGTAAAGGTAAAGTGTAAAGAAAAGATAAGGGCGGAAGATGGAGGAGACTTGGAAACTCTAAATATGTTGAATGTATGAAAGACATAGGAGCATTGGCAGATAAATTGAGAACCAACATTTTTGAATAAGGGAAAAGATATAGATATAAAGGCAAGGTTCAGAGTAGTAAATGAAGGTAGAGGATGTGTGTATTGGATAAAAGAGGAAGAAAATAAGTGCAGGATATGTAACAGGAAAAACGTTAATCCATGTACTGGAAGGATGTGATGAAGGTAAAGATCTATAGAGGAATATATGAGTATATATACGATAATAGAAATGGACTGATGCTCTTAAAAAATGTAATGAGGAAGAGAAAGGGGATTTAAAGAAAGAAGGGGAAAAGGGAGGGTGTAATGAAATTTAAAGTTTTATTTATTGAATTTTTTTGGTGTTAGGGAAGTTAGGGGACATTTGTTTATGGTTTTATTTTTTTCCTTTTAGCTCATTAATTAGTATAGGTGGCAGTGGATTAGCGTAAATTTTTGCCACCCAGGGCGGAGTCCAAAATTTGCCGCCTTTTCTATTATTATAATTATATAAGATCATTTATTTACTTTTTTTTAGTCTTTTGTTTAAACAGAAAAACGAATGTTATGAATTTTTCATCGGTTTGTGTTGTTATTACTACTCATACTTCATCTCCAAATTATCTAGCAATGTCATTGTGACTTCCAAGTTGCAATATCCGTTGAAAACTACGATTTTAATTTTTCGGATCCGTTACAAAAACATCCGTATGACTGGGAAATTAATAAATTCCAGCAGTTGCTCTATCCAGGGCTGCCGCGTGGGTGAAAGCCGATTCAATTGAAATTATTTCGGTTTTTCAAATACATTAGGTCATCAGTATCCTGATCTTCAGTATTTTTATTGCCGAATTCTTTCCATACCTTCGCAATATATTAAAGTTTCAATAACTCAGGATTATGCAGCATTTTGCTAATTACATTTATGAGATTTAATAAGATCTTATCTTAAGGAGTAGTAAGGATATAAAACAGAGGATAGCTTAGGGTCGAGTCGCCTTCATTAAAAAGTCACTTCTATACTAGCGAACGGTTAATTTAAATATTCGAAAAAGATTGTTAAAGGTGTATGGTTGGATAATGGTTAGTTCCCTCCTATGTACCTGTTTTTAATTAGGGTTAAAATTTTCGGTATGTCGAATTCCCTCCCAATTATATATCAATTGCCTCCCAACGGCGGCAGATGGCCTTGTTTTACTAGATTTTCAATGTGAAATTTATGTTAAAATACGAAGTGTTTCATCTAATTTTAGAAAATTGTTAACAAGACAAACTAAAACTAATAAAGTTTTTGTAGATGATTCATCAAAAAGCTAGACGCACACGAATTTCCAAACATTGAA